CCCCCCCAAAATGCGTAATAATGAAGCATGAGAAAATAGAGTAAAGCAGTGCAGGGTCAAGACCAGGAACTACTAACTGATTTTGATTACATCTGTTTCTGAAGTGAGTAATCTCACTGTGGACAAATATGGTTCTGTGGAATGAGAATCCCCTTTTCAGAACAGCTGATGAGTTTGTCACCTGTCCCGTTTCAAGTAACTGGGCTTGGTATGCAAGTCCTTCTGTTTCATGCCAGTTGCTGAAGTTGTAGCCTTGCATTTTTGTTGTTGTTCCTCAGTGAAGTGTGTAGTTTGGCTATAGGACCTTGGACCTGCGGTGTGGAGACTAATTCCACCTCACGTGCGTGGATCTGGCTGCCAAAGATTCAGGGACCTCCTAGGCTGGAATGGTGCTTGTGCCCTGCTGCAATTACCAGTGGATCTTCCTGCTGTCTATCTGTTCTCCTTTTGAACTCGTTCATACCACCACGAAGTGCTGTAGCATTATATTTCCTATTTCAGTTAAAACAGACTCTTCTGTCTATTTTAAACTGGCAGATTTAATTGCTTAGCTTTTTAGTTTGGTTTTCATTGTGAGCAGGATTCACAGTCATTCACTATCAGCATTCACTCTGCTGTTCATGATCGCATATGTGGTTGCCCTGTCTGTTCTCAGTTATCTTTCCGGTCTGTCCTGATACGGAAGCCGTTTTTTACATCTGATTCTTCCTGCCTATCTCCTCCAACATTTTTCTTGAGACTGGTTGAGGGGTGGGGGAGAAGTTGTTATAAAACCTCTTCAGGTCATGCATAGACTTAAGGCAATTGCTCAGTGTTTTCCCCTGGTTAAAGAATGGCTCTAGTATGAGGTGTTTTCCTCCATTCCTATAAGTGAATGTGGAGGCAGAGTATTCATTCACAACTTTTCTGCTGTGGCTTTGTTTTCCTTAAGTTTTGTTTTACAAGCTGAGTATCTTCTAGCAGAACCAATTATCTGGACGCCTCCTGTCTTTCTGAGGCAGGTGAAAATGATTTTTCTTAGTTGTTTTACACCTTCAGCAGACTGTACTTCAAAATCTTCTTAGCTGGCCTTTATTTTGGCTTTGTTTGTGTGCTCTTTTTGTACATCCTCTTTTTTGTTTCTGAACTGATGGATGTCCCTTTACCTCTAAAGAGCCTCTACTCTGCTGTTGAGTCACGTAGGACAGTGGGAATGCTGATTTATAGTCCTCTTGGAGTTGTGGGTTACCTTTTACATGTATGTTAGCTTTAGAAACTCTGCATTACCTTACAAGCATCTTGTGGTTTAAGCAGCTACTTCGATTGTCTTTTTAATTGATTATGCAATTTGGGTGCAGTTCCTGTTTAAATGTTATTGTAGTTCATTTGGCTTTTTTTTTTTCCAAAAAGATGTTTGATTTGAGCTTTCTGTGGCTGCTGCTTCAGAATTTTTCTGTAACAGTTGCATTTGGAACAGTCTTGTACGCTGCTGGGATGTTAAGCTAGCATTGCTTTTCCAGTTGATTTCACCGATAAAACTTGGGAGTCATCACTCGTGGTAAAAAAAAAAAAAAAAAAAAACTTGGTATGTACGTCCTTCCTAGCGTACTTAAGAATGCTCCTCTATGTTGAAATTCTACGTCATTATTATTTTTGTCTCTGTATGCTTTGAACTTCTTGATGTGGTTATACATTTGCTTGAACTTTTCCTTATGAACTTTAAAAAGGTTGAGGTTTTCAGCACAGATAAGGACATTTGACAGTGTTGTCAAAGCAGTGCAGCGTAGATGAATTTAATCACAGTGGTAACGTTAGCTCATTTCAGCCTCGGTATGTGGATACGTACCTTACTTACTTGGTATGTTGTGCTGGGTACAAAATATTATAAACAGGGATATTCATGTGCTAAAGAACAGTGATTCCTTTAAAGCCGGGGCATGCAGTAGTTAATAATTGATGTAAATCTTTTAGTTCTCCAGCCAAGAAGTCTAGTCTCCGGAAGGCACTGCAGTTTGAAGCAGATCTTTTTGATACCACTTCTGAAGGGCAGAGCTCAGAGAGCTTGGGAGCTTCGTTGTCATCTCTCAGTAACCTGATAGGATTAGTGGCTGAGACATCAGAGGAAAGATACCGTCTTTTGGACCAAAGGGATAAAATCATGCGACAAGGTAGTGTTTGTAATTACACAAGTTCATGTGAGTGTAACGTCAGTTTTTCTGCTGGAAAGAAAGGGTTTAGTATCTGTTGCAAAGCTGTTGTAATATTATGATAAAGGCTTTAAGGTGAGACTGGGTCACATGGAACAGTCTATAAAATATTCCTCTTTTGTAGAGGGTTGTTGTACGTATTAATATCTTGTAGAACATGCGAAAAATTGTTCTACTTATTACGCGTACATATCCCTTATGAATAGGGAGCACCAAGCTATTATTCTCCAGCGGAAGCATTTTTGAGTTCCTCGTTGCAGTGCGTTTTGAGTCCTGACAAAATGGCAAAGCACCTCCTTTTACCGATAGGAGGAAAGCGAATGGGGACAAGGACTCAATTTCCTCCTTGCTCTGCAGGTCTGCCTCTTCCTTCCCTGATCCTAGTGCTCGTTGTGCTTGGGTGGCTCAGCGGAGTAACTGAGCTGAAAACTTTTATTTTCCCTGGGTTGGTTTCTTGTCGAGCTAGACTCCTTTAGCTTATAAAATGGCTCGTCAAGAATCATCCCTGTTTTAAAGAGGTGAGGGGAGAAATGCATGTGGTGAGTAGGACCTAGTGCTGGCTTTTACACACCCTTTAGCTGTCAGCTGTTAGATCAGCCAAGCCACCTTGTATAACCGCACTGCCACGCGTGCTTGACTTGTAATTACAGGTCTTTGATTTCTTTGACCCTTGGAGAGTCCTGTAGGTGGATTTGCACTCCTGCAGGTTCTTTGAAGAAGCCTATGCAAAAGCCTAATAGTGTTTCTCTAAATGTGAACTATTTCACAGTTGAACATTGTTTCAAGACATGTCCCCTTGTTCTGCAGTTCTGGGTTGTAAGCCCTTTCGTTAACGTCCTCACCTCTTCAAAGCTGACCCTAAATCCTTTTATGACGACACTTTTATATCAACTGATTGTTCTGTCACTTGACGTGGAATTATAAAATAACGACTGGTGCGTGCTTGGTAAATTAGGATACAAAACACCAGATATCTTTAGCGACTTTAACCTCTCCAGCAAAACTGTTGATATGAGGTGTACAGCAGGAAAAACTTCCCTGGGGCATGGTGCAGCCTTGAGACAGGTAAGGAGGGGGGCCCCTATCCTTGAGGGTTTCCAGCCTTGCCTGCCCTGATCTGGTGTTGGAGACTGTCCTGCTCCAAGGCGGAGGCTGGACAGGAGCCTCCAGAGACCCCTTCCCACCAGCTCTTACGTGAGTCATTGCCCTGGCAGTTTACTTCTTGATGCCTGTCCATTGAGCCTCCAGCTGAGGCGTGTGGTGTGTTTAGGGCTATGTTGGCACGATAGGATAATAGCTGGTAATGAAAGCAAAAAAGAGCAATGCTTAGCATTATGATTTTTTTTGTTTGTTTGTTTGTAACATTCTTTCTTAGCTCGAGTAAAAAGGACTGATCTAGGCAAAGCGAAAACTGTTGTTGGCACTTGCCCAGACATGTGTCCTGAAAAGGAGCGCTACATGAGGGAGACAAGAAACCAGCTCAGTATCTTTGAATTGCTTCTAGGATCTGACAAGGTACGAGCCTTCTGTACGCAAGCGTTTGCAGTTTCCAGCGCGTCTGTTCACTTGCTGCTTACGTAAAGCTGTCAGTGGTGTTCAGCTGAGTCCAAGGTTAATTCTGGTGGAAAAATTCTGTAAACCATTTAATTAATATTTCTGTCTCTAAGGTCCCCATTGTAAAACAAGAACGCTAGAGAATTACTGTTTCACTGTAGCAGTGGCATGCCTTTTTTTAGTTTTATAAACCTGGCCAGAGCTATAGTTGTGGGCAGCGGTATACAGATGTTGGTGATGAATTGGAGACTGCTAAATCAACACTTGCATGTTATTTTCTTTCATGACAGAATCACATTTGCTATCATAGCAGAATTGTCATTAGTAGGGCTGCTAGTGTAAACAGTAGAGAATCTCCTTTGAGCAGTCTGCCTCATACCACTGTAAAGGCATGGATGTGATGAAACCCCCTGTGTTCCTGAAAAAAAAAATTAAACTTTTTTTGATTGTTCTTTCTCCGCCTCTTGCAGGTAGATCATGCAGCAGCAATCAAGGAATATAGCAGATCTTCAGCAGATCAGGAGGAACCGTTGCCCCACGAATTGAGACCCTCTGAGGTGTTAAGCATGACCATGGACTACTTAGTGACAAACATTATGGACCAAGGAGAAGGAAACTACCGAGAATGGTATGACTTTGTCTGGAACAGAACCCGTGGAATAAGAAAGGTAAGTACTGGTGGGTGGAGATATTTGATGATAGAATGCGAACTATTGTGTGATGCTGTGAGAAGCGAAGCAAAACGTGATAGCGATTCAAGCATTCAAGTTTTGAAGCCTGCCTCAAAGAATAGTCGAAACAAGAATTTTCCAAAGGTGGAGCCAGATGACTCTGCTCTTCAGCCATAATTTAAAATACGTGTAATGCTTTGTTTATCCTTATAATTAGGATATAACCCAGCAACATCTCTGCAACCCACTGACGGTGTCTCTGATTGAGAAGTGCACTCGCTTTCACATCCACTGTGCTCACCACTTGTGTGAAGAGCCCATGTCCTCCTTTGATGCCAAAATCAACAACGAGAACATGACTAAATGCCTGCAGAGTTTGAAGGAAATGTATCAGGACCTGGCTAACAAGGGGATTTACTGCCAGAGCGAAGCAGAGTTCAGAGGTTATAGTGTTCTGCTGAATCTCAACAAGGGTGATATTCTCAGGTGGGAATAATGGGTATCACTTGTTTTCTCTTGCCTTTGGGAAGAAATGAGATTAGAATTAATTGGAGACAAATTGTAATGGAAGTGAAGGCTTTAGTTGCAAAATTATTTTGCCAAAGCAAAGAAATGGGGTACTGTAGTAATGTTGTTTGAATTTTTAATAGCTCATTTCCTGGCATTTTTAGAGAGAAACTGAGAACTGGAATGGACAGTTTCCTTTACTTCCAAAAAAAAAAAAAAGTCTGGTTGTTGAACAGGTCTTCAGAATTTTTCTCAATGAGGCAAGAGAGCAGTAGAGTTCAGCACCCCCAACTTCCTGGGTTTTTTTTTGTCTTGTTTGTTTGAACAGGCATACTGTAGTAACTGAGCAGATTTATTTCCAGGTAGAGCAGAATTTTTTTGGTTAATCTTACAATGCAGCAGAAAATATCACTGAAATGCAAAACACTTTTTTTCTGCGTTTCGTGATCTCCGTTTTCATCTGGTGAACTCGCTGGTTTGGGAAATAAGGTGGTTTAAGGTGCTTTTGGCCCATGTTTGGTAAACTGGGTAATGGCTGAACCCATGCTCGTTTCTCCTTGAGGCTGCAGCTCAGAAGTGGGGGAGGAGTTTGCAGAAAGGAGAAGACGGAAGGTATGCTTGTTTTCTGGTGCTCTAAAATTGTTTCTCCCAATACCACATTTCCGCCACCTTCCCCTTTAAGCAGTGTTTATGGAATAAATTTCAAACTACAGCTGTGTTTCTTGTGGTATATGGGGTGGGGGAAAAGTTGTTTATTTTCAAGCTAAGCTTCTTTTTAATAAAATGGGATCATTAAATGGGAAAACTTTATTTTTGTATTGCTTTCAACTTCTTAGGAATAGATTTGAATAAGACTTGCCACAAAACGCTAACTTTAGAAAAGGACGGATCCTGAACATCCCTTGTAACGGAGATGCTGTGTTCTCCAGGGAAAATCTGTCCATATGCTGATTTTCTTTTTTTCCCCCCAAATGTCCAGCCTGTTTCCCCTAGCTTAGTGGAAACTGTCCTGTGTGTCTTACTGACTGTTTACTCTTTACCTGCACCGTAAGTACAGAAGTAGAGCTATATTTATTTTACTCTCTATGTTCAGTTTGGATAAGCAATCATTGAGTTGAATAGCCACGTGGTTAAAAGTATCTTTTAAAAGAAGCTTTTTATTTCATATCCTTGAATAACTCAGTAAGGTTTCTAGACAGGTAGTAAGAAAAATATAACTTTACCTTTTGATTGAGAAAAGTGTGATAATTTCATTCAAGGAAATTCGTTTCTCTTCCCAGAGGGGCATCTAAGCTTCACGGCCTTATCCTCCGCAGTAGTACTGAGCAAAACACGTTTTGTGGGCGATGTCAGTTTTGCTTTTCTGGTCAACCTCTTAATTTCCTTCCTCCCAAGAATTTGGAGCGATGCACCTAAATACTAGCATGGTGCTAATGCTGGTTATGCTGACTGCATTAGAAGATATATGATGAGTAGATACTGTTAATTTAGTTCAGCTATTACTTTTGCTCATGTAACTTGGAAGTTGCATGTCTTGCTTAAAGCTTCTCTTTCATTCTATTTTGTTACAGGTAGCTGTGAAGTTGTTCTTGTTAACGTTGAAGCAAAAGGTTTCTCTGTCTTTGTCTCCACAGAGAAGTGCAGCAGTTTCATCCAGAGGTTAGAAACTCCCCTGAAGTTAGATTTGCAGTTCAAGCTTTTGCTGCGTTAAACAGCAACAACTTTGTGAGGTTTTTCAAGTTAGTGCAAGCAGCTTCCTATCTGAATGCCTGTATCTTGCACTGTTATTTCAACCAGGTAAGAAAAAGGCAGGTGGATATCTTCTAAAGGTTTAACCTGTAAAACAGTCTGGGACTTTTGGAAGGAAATTTTTTTGGAAAGCAGAAAAGTCAGCAGATAGTTACTTAATCTCATAAAATAATCTTGTACTTGCTTCTTCAGAGGCATTTAAAAAATTAATCAGAAGAGTTTTCTGCCATGTTATAAAATGAATGATCAGCTTAAACTATTAGAAACCCTTGCAAGCTTTTGTTCCTGCCCAAAAGCACAAAGGGATATTGCTCAAAATAAGCAGCAATGAAGAGGAGTGGGAACTAGAATGCAAGCGGCACGAAATTTGAAAATAAAATTAGATCTGAAAAGCTGTTTGCATGGAGAGTCCCAAGTTTTTTTTTACTTAGAAAAAAATTGCTTTTTTCCATGATTGTAACATCTTTATAGTCATTTGGAGTTTGAAGAAATGTAAGATCTTTAACTTATCAGTCACCTGGCTTTCTTTAATCTTTCCCCAGATTCGTAGAGACGCTCTCAAGTCTCTGAATATTGCTTACACTGTGAGCACCCAAAGATGTACAGTGTTTCCGTTGGATCACCTGGTCCGCATGCTACTGTTCAAAGATTGGGAGGAAGCAACTGATTTCATAAGTTACTATGGCCTGAGCGTTTCTGATGGGTAAGTGGTAAAGAAGAGGTTGTGCCTGAAGATGCCCGGTGGGGTTAGATTAACGTTAGGCTAAGTGTTAACGTGGACAGGCCCTCGTTGGATTTTGCAATCAAAAAAGACAAGAACAGGCAGAGGTTAGAGACTGGACTCGATGGAAGCAAAGCGCCAGGACAACAGGAGGCACAAAGCTTAATAATCTGTTCTACTTTTATTGCTATATTTATGAACATTTCCTTGATTTCACCTTATTCCCTGAAGAAAGGGTGCTTGTATTGTTGCTAACTACTGTGTATTTCCACGTAACTTTTTTTGCACTTGGTAAGGTGCTTGGGGTTTCAAGGATAAAGAATACCTGTTTTCATGGCACCTGAAGGAAAAAAGCAGGAGAGGCACTCCCCCAAATGAGAGACTGCATATTGAGCTTAGTCTCTGTTGAACTCCGGGGAATTCTTCCCTAGAAAAAGACATTGTGGATAACCCAGTCAAAGGAAAAATTTTAATTGGGCTTTTCCATCTTGCAGTTGAACTGTAGTAAACTGTAGTTCTGTAGGAAATCAGGATGCGTTCTCGTGAAGCTGACATGTTACGGTGATGCGGATGGGGTGGGGTGAAGTCGAGTGGTGTGAAAGGTTGAGTTTTTAGGAGCAAAAGGAAAAGTAAAGGTTGAGTGGGAGAGGAGCCTGTAAAAGTCTTTAGTGGAGGATTAGGAGGATGTTAGAGGCCAACAACCGGCAGACAAGAATGTCTGCTGTGGAAATGCATAAATTACATGCATGTGTGCTGATGCATACAGACTTGGAATGCAGGCGGCTGGGGAAGGCGAGAAATTGAGCCCGTCACTTAGAGTGGTCCATTTCCTATTACTATTCGGTTTAGAAAGGGCAAATTAGTAAGACCGTAGGTGCCTGGATTGGAATAGGATTGCACCTTTTAAAATGATTTCTGTAGGTAGTCCTGACATCTTTGTCCATCACAACTTGTATTCTGTCCTGGGAGAATAGCAGTTAGGATAGTGTTCTTGCCTTCCCTTCTCCAGTTCTAGCTGAAGACTGAGATCCAGGCTACAGGGAGCAATTCTGAAAGTCCTGTATCTGTCTCGCTTAGCCCTACTGAGCTGTCCAACTGAAAACGTACAGGCTACAGAAGCTTTGAGTATGTACTTCTATTTTTATATTTCCCCAGTGCTTATGTGGAGCTGAATCGCTCAGCTTTCTTGGAGCCTGACGGATTACCCAAACCACAGAAATCGATGTTTGTAAGTCGGAAGCTGACTGTGTCAGTTGGGCAAGTTGTAAATGGAGGGCCGCTACCTTCAGTGCCTCACCATGTGCCTGTGAGTAGCTTCAATGGACAGAACAAATACATTGGTGGTAACACAACTGTGGATCCAGCTAGTAGCAGCCAAAAATCCAGTGCGGATGCTACAGGTAAGAGCAAACGGGCGTTTCAAACACTGTTTAGGAACGTAGTGCTGGATCGTTTTGTGAATAGCTTTGTCCTACAAAGGAGAAACTGCTCTTGGCTCACGTAGATTGAAATTGCGTTCAAATTTAGGCATGATAAAAGCATATTTTTTTAATATAATTACACGTCTGTAAAAGCTCATGAACTTCCTGATTTAAAAAAATATATTTATCGATACAGAAAATACACTAATGGAAATAAGTTCAAAGTTTTATCAACATAAGTGAAGTAACTAACTGCTTTCAGATATCCAAGTTCCCTTTTCAGTTTGCAGATTTTGTGTACTGCTTGTTCTCACTGTGCCTCACTAAGTACATTGTCTTCAAGCTGGCTGAATTTATACCTGGTCCTGGTTGGAAGGACAAATATTTTGCATTTATTCAAGAGCAGTGTGTGAGTAGGTGCTAAGCTTACTTCTCTTAAAGCAATTGTTTTAGTGGAGGGGCACTCTCAAGAAATACAGTAATATGTGTAATAATTTAATTAGCCTGCGTGATGTATTTTAACTTCAGGGCAGCAAGCTTCCAATATGCAGTTGCCTGATAAATCTCATCGGCTTATAAAACAAGCCAGACTGAATTGATGTTTCTCTTAATGGCTTGATTTCTGTTCCCTCCCCTTCCCCAGAAGGAAGAATGGAAAGCAAAGTTGTGGAATTAGATGTCGCAGCAGTAAGAGTCCAGCCCCCAGCTCACCTTATGCCTTCACTGTTACCTCGTCCTCTAGTGCCACTGCTACCTTCTGCCCAGGCAATTTCCCAGTCTGTTGGACAACCTGAGCTTCTCCCTTCAAAGCCTCAGCCAGTGTACACAGACACGGTAAGGAAAGCTCAAAAACCCCTTGAGTATTTGGGAAAGATTTAAAAAATGATAAAAGGCAACTGAGATCCATAGATTGTCTCCAGACCCGGGAGACGTTCCCTGGCCCGGTGCTATCATTAGTTTAAGTAGTTTCTTCAGACTTTTTTTATTCTGAAAAAGGAAAGTCTTGTGTAATTTCAGATGCAGGTCTGAAGATGTCACTGTTTGCTTTCTTTCACTGGATAAACAAAGTTCTGTCTGTTAGTATTTATTTGAGACACTTCTAAGGAGAAAGTCAGTGATATCATAGAAAGTAGTTATATTGATTTAGCAGGTAAACTTTGTTTTAGTGGCTACTGCTTTAGTCCTTAATATTATGACATTTATTTTGAATGAAACATGACTAAGCTGCTGCTTGTGTATGCAAGACTGCTAATGTCTGGTCTTAAGCGTGTACCTCATGCCCCTGTGCTGTTTTCCCTCTGCCCCTGCCAAGGTTTAGATTTGTGCAAATACTGAATCTGTGCTGAAATGTCTTACTGCTTTGTAAAGTCTTGCAGCTTCTATGTTCCGCCTAAACGTGGTTACGTTTCAATGAAGAGCATATCTAGTTTTTTGGGATTAAATTAGCTAGAACCTGTAGAGAAATGGCAACTCTACAAGAAACTGAAATACAAAAATAGGAAGCACTCTCAAAATTCACCTTTCTTAGTTGATGTTTTCTGATTTAACTTGCCTGTCTTTAATACAAAAAGTTGCTTTTGTTACTATGTTGGTATTATATGGCTCTTACTTCTAGAATACTGAAAGACTTTCAGGCTCTTGCATTTACAAAGTTAGCTTTGTTTGCAAGTAGAAATACAGTTGTTTAACTGACTGTAATTGGCAATTACAAGGTTGGAAGGCCTTGTTCCCGATTCACGCGTGTGCAGAGACTGTCCTGAGCAGGATTCCAGCTTGCTTCAGCTGCTTCCTCCCCTGTGTTGTAGGACATTGCTGAAGTGGTGGACGGGCTTGTGCGTGACGTCCTCAAAGGAGAGTGCAGAGAAGTCAGCCGAGCGGGAATGGCTTACGTTGCTGCAGCGATCTGGTAAAGAAACGTTTTCTGCCGGTACTCCTGGAGTCCGTTGCCATTAAAATTCCAGTTGGCCCTAACAGCACCACGTATAAAGATTAAAACTAAGCAAGGCAAGCTTTGTAGCAGAGAGAGATTCTCTTACCGATGCAGTGGAGGAAAAATCAGACCTTCCTTCGGATGACCCCAGCCTTTCTGACATACATCGATTAAGTGATGTGCTGCTCTGTAAACCTTGTCTGGCACGACTCTAACATCACTGCTACTACAAACGTATTTTGGAAGGAAAGGTGCCCAAACAGGGACAGGAGGAATAAGTCCAGATCTGGCTTACTGTGCGTTTTGAATAACGCTTCTACAAGGGAATTCAAACTCGCACGCAGGCCATTGGGAAGGGGCATCTGGATGGCTTTGGCCCAGCCTCCCCCTCTCAGCAGGTCTATTGCCAGCACTAGATCAAGTCAGCCCTGGCATTGTCTAGTAAGGTCACTCACAACCTTGCATTACGTACCAGTGTATTGACAATGACGTGCAGATGTTGTTTCCTGATAATGCATGGGAATATCTTTTCAGACCTTGTGGAGACTGTGTGACTCTAAATCCAAGAGCTGGAATCCTATGTCGTCATCTACTCAGGAGGGGGAAAAGGAGGAAGAAAAAAAAAAAGGAAAAAAAACGCGCCTAGTAAACTGACATACGTTAACTAATCTTAAAGAGGACTGGCTTCAGTCAATCCTAAGTAAAGGCCCCCCGCCCAAGAAGGGTCTGTTACACTGTGGACAGGTTGCATCATTGGGGAAACTCATGCTCGATAATTGATTTTTGTGGTGCTGGACCTTACTGTCTTCTGATAACTGCACCCACGTGCCTACCCTTCCCCAGAGTGGGATGTGCAGCTGCAGTCTGGCTGTAAAACATTCTGTGTGTCTATCTCCCCTTAAATAACAGCATAGGAAAGGAAGGTTGCAGATTACTTACATAGACATGTATGCTTTGTTCCGTCTATGCTGCTCAGTCCCAGCAGGCACAGTTAGAGCTCTCTGACCCCTGCTTCAGCAGGCTGATGTGAGAATTAGCTGTGTTAATTTTGTTAGATTCCGTTTTCAGCAACTCAGTTCTGGATTAATTTGCTGGGTGTTCACAAAGAGCAGCACAAGGGCATAGTGCAAGGGTTGAATTAAAATCAGAGCCCATGCGTGGGGCAATGGGGCAAAGCCCTTGGAAGACAGGAGTGAACTTTTTTGTATGAATATGGGTTTGGGTGTTTTTAAGCTGCATCTTGAAACTTCCCTTCCCACGCAAATTCAAACTCTTTTGAGCTGTAGTAAACTTGAAGGAATCGGCCTGCAGGTTTTGGATGCTTCAAGTGATCTTCTAAGCATGTTCATGTTCTTTGTGTCCTGTCAAGCATTAACATTTTCGGTCAGTAGGATGGCTCAACCTGTTGGTTCACTGGTCCACGTTATAGCAAACTGACATATTCATGTAATTGAAAACAGATGTAGGGGACCAAAATTATGCTGTCATTCTCACCCAAGCTTGAGGAAAACCACAGATGTATGGTGCCTAGCCTTTAAGGCTCTGAATGAAAACTTGTTGGCTTTGAAAGGAGAATTGCTGTTTTTGTGCAGCACGTCGGAGGCCGCTGTGGAGGAACTTCTGGCTGAAGTAATGAGGGAGATTCTCAGACAAGTGGCGGGAAGCGTGCTCAGCGCAGAAAGGGAACGCGTTAAAGAGGAAAGGCGCCGAGTGGAGGAAGAGAGGTGAGTTGCTGGTCCTGCAGGGTGGACTCTGTGCATCTCCTGGGCAACATAAAAACAGACCTGAGCCATTGGATGTGTGCTCAGACCCTGTGCCTTTCTCACACGTTGAAATCTCTTGATTTCTCTCATCTTGAACTGCCCTGGGATCACAGAGAGAGAGATTGCCACTTGTGTGTCCTCAGATGATCTGCTAGTTAGTTTTTTTGGGTAACCTCACAGAGCCACCACAAAAATGGGGAGTGGGAACGTTTGGGGAACTTTAATCCTCCCAAAGCTTCCAGGGAGGGAGGTGTCTTCACCTCTCTGGTGTGGACAAGGTCCTCACCTTGACATATGCAGGAACTTTTCTTTCCAAGGGGAAATAGTTCCTGTGATTGTATGGTTGTATAGCTCCAATAGCTGTATGATTGAAAGAGACCTGGCTCCATTCAAAGCTGAGTCTGTTTGTTTTTAGGGGGAGAAAACGGCTAGTGGGAACTAAATTTTAGGCGAATTAACTGTGGGTCTGATGCTGCACGTTGCACTTGTTATTAAGTGGTAGGTTTGGCAGTTGCTGCTTGTGTAAACTTGTTCCTTGTCCTTCTAGGCGAAAGAAGGAAAGAGAGCAGTTAATAAAACAGTTGAGTCAGTTGGTGGGTATGGAGTTGATGGAAGAAGTAATAAAGGAGAATGTTCGAGAGACATCAGACAATGAATTAAAGTAAGTACTACCTACTATACGCCATACTTTGCTGTTTAGGATACTTTCCTGAGGGTAAGAATTTGTCAGGAAGTCGCAGGCCTCTTGCTGAAGATGACCTCAAAGAAGGTCAAACAATAGAGTGCTTTAAAGAGAGAGAAAACGTACTTGGTCATACAGCATGTTGTCAGCTTGCAGCTGCACTGTTGTCAGGCAGAAGTGGTCCTCCAGGGGTGAAAGAAATAGACGCTTTATTTGGAACAAGGCTGCCCTGTGTGCTTTATCCTCCAACTCCATCATAGTCTGGCATGTATTTCTCTGGAAGCCTATGATCAGCATAAAACTCGAATGACGCTTGTGATTACAGATCTCACGTAGAAGGGCCATAGATTAAAAAGCAGAAGCATAGAAAACTCTTCCTCTTTGCTACCTGTCCTGGTAGTCTCTCTTATTTGCAGCACGGTCAGTTGTTTTAGCGTTTGTGTTCACCTCACTGGAGGTCTTGTCTTGTTTCGTTTTGAATTAGATGTGCCTTAGAAAGAGACCGGAGAGCGCGGATTGCCCGGTGCTCAGAAGAAGTCTGTGCTCATGTCATGGACCTCTTTCTGGAAGATGAGATTTTCCAGATTGCCAAGGAAACTCTTCAGGAGCTCCAGTGTTTCTGCAAATATCTGCAGCGGTGAGTTGCCATCCTGTGATACACTTTCTTTCCTTGGGAGTATAGGAAGGGTGATGTTAATAGTTTCAAATAAAACTGCTTGTGTTTGAGACAGCTGTTGCTGACAGGTTGGCTCCGCTCTAAAGATAGACTTAGTCTTGCATTACTAATATGTGGGGGAGGGGGCATACCTCATGGGAGCCATTTAACAAGCTTGGTAAGAGACTTCAGCTTAATTCTGTCTAGAAACTTGTAATTGCTTCTCCGATGTTTTCTACTGAGAGTTTGTTTTTCTGGATACGTGTTTTAAGTGGTTATTGTAGTGGTCCAAAGCAGAGATACGTTTCTCCTTCTGCTGTGCTGCCCCAGTGCAGCCAGGTGGAGACACTTCAGGTGGCGTTTCATACCACTAGAAGAGAGGAAGCAGCAGGCTGCTTTCCCCCACCCACCTCTGTCTCCTGTGAAACACCTTCCCTTGCAGAGTTCTACTTCTGTCCTAAGAATGTGTCCATTTCACTTCAGGTTATATGCGAATCTCACATGTCTGCCTTCTGTGGGATAGGGGGAAGGTTAATCAGGATCCTAAAGATATGAGAGAGACTTACATGCGGCAGTCAAAATTCAATGATGCAGGAGTATTTTTATATGCTCTGAAAATATCTGAGGAAACAAGATGCAAAAACACCGGTTTATGACTTAGTCTTTTGTCTTCTTTGTCACATGTTCTGTATTATTTGGTCATTGAAAAATAGGCTGGCTTCTGATGATGAAGGCTGTATTAAGCATTCCCTCCTGCTTGATTGATTTGCCCCAAAACAGGACAACAACAAAAAAAGGCATACCTTTTTTCTTGCAAGAGGATGTTGCAAGGGTATTTTCAGCAAGTACTTGAGTCGTAGAGAATGCTTGCGCTAAAAATAAGCATGCTGAAACCTGGGAAGGAAAATGATGCTTGAACTTTTGTCTGGGAAGCTTTTAGGGTGCAGGAGAGTGAGTTCAACTTGCTATGCAGACAGCTGCTCCCTTTTTTGTCTAGTTTTTTTTAATATATTATTATTATTGTTTTTTTAAGGGGGTGCAGTGCTGCCCCTTTTGGACACTCAACACGTATGGCTGGCAGATCACATCCAGCGTGTGCTCTGAGAAGTGAATTTGCAGTTGTGTGCACGACTGTAGTCTGAGCCCACTGCATCTCCCACATGCACTGTCCCACCCTTTGGCCGTCTCTGATGCTTGTGGGATGCTTTTGAGAGCCTGACCCCGTGTGAAGAGCAAAAATGAGAAAACTGGTTTGGACTGAGGAAGTAATTAGTAGGGCCTATTTGTCTGTTCTCTCCTGAAGGTGGAGGGAAGCAGTGGCAGCTCGAACAAAGTTGAAACGTCAAATGAGGGCGTTTCCAGCTGCTCCCTTTTGCACGGATCCAAGAAATAAACTGAAAGCGCTTTCCCCCAGTGCTGAGTGGCCTATAGCCATGGACAACTTGGCCAAGAGAATTGTAAACCTGGGACACGCAGGAAAGCTGGGAATCTCTTGCACGAGGTAAGGGTGCTTACAGTGGCAGCAGCTGGCAGTTGGTACGATTTTTGGAAGGTGAGTTACAAAGTAGTCGTCTTCTGTCAGAGTCTGTTGCTAAAGTTAGTGGTTTTGCAAAACAGTTTTCTTAAATTCCCCCCAAAGGGCGCTTTCTGTATACAATGCCATTACAAAATCTGAAAACCCAAAGAAGTTTTTTTCCTTCTCCTATTAACAGCAGCTTTCCAAAGTTTTCGCAATGACTTTGAAGGGCTCAGCAGTTTTGTTTGTATAAAATAACAGATACGTTTGCCAATCGCAACCACCTTCTATTTCTAGATTGAATTGGCTGAGAAACAAGACAGTGCATGAGATGAAAGTTCAGCACTTCTACCAGCAATTGTTAAGGTATGTTGGAGTTTGATCCTTGTGTTTTTAAGCAAATTGTAACAAGAATGCCAAAGACCTTGAAAATGTCATTGTGGAGCGGCAAATGGAGCGTCCGTTTGCTGTTTTGCTTCTGGAAGTACTTGACACTTTAGGGGAAACTGGAAGGTAAATCCTTGAAGATGTTAGGACATCCAAGCCCATTGCTATAGGTGTAACCTTAAGGGTATGTCAGGCTTTATGCATTTTGTTCTCGGGTGGTATGGGACCTAGGTCGGAGTGTGCGGGCAGAACAATAAATGAGTCGTTACCAGCCTGGCTCGTGCGTGAACGATTTGATTGAGAATTTTAGTGTCCAGCGGGAGGTCTGCCTTCTTGTGGCTTGTCACACGCTCTGGTTCCTTATGCGTTTATTGGAGCAGAGTAGCTAAGGAGCGTGGAACTGAAGCAATAGGGATGTGGTCCCACATCCCCAAAATAAAGCTCGTGTTACAGATTCGGGAGCTGTAAGTCTTGAAAGTATCTGGTCCGTGGTGAAATAGGTGGGTGATGGAACTAATTCTTTAGCTCTAATTTTGGACCTCTTGAAGCGTTTATAGCGTTCCAGCTTGTTCAAGGCAAGAAAAGCGTTCCCCTTGAAGGGCTGCAACCCTGGCACAGATCCCCAGGTGGGGGATCTCCATCTTTGGGTGTTTCCAAGCCTTGGCCGTTAGGTGGGCGGTCTTGCTCTGGTATTGGGGATGTTCCTGCCCTGAGGAGGAGGTTAAACGGGAGATTTCAGAGGTGCCATCCCACCAGTGCCTCTGTAAATCTTTTAAGAGCCTTTCCCATAATGGCTGGTAACTTGTTTTTTTAATGACTGTCCCCTAGCAGACCTTCCCATAATCAAACGCAGCCATGTTCTGCCAGTAACTGGTCATGGGTGTGCTCTGCGGTTGTGGAAAGTGATGTAAACTGATCTGTTTTGTTCACTGGAGTAGCTCAAAAGCATGCGTGCAGTCAGTAAATGAGGCTGGCAGACGTTAACGAATAAAGCTGCAACGTTATCTGTTAATTGGCACATTGCTTCAAGAAAAAAACCACCCACGGGAACTTCCTGAAGTTGAGTGATTAGGAACTGGTTTTGGAGCTTAGATAATGGCAAAATGGTGTTATCACTGAAAAATATAAGATGCTGCTGCAGTCTTTTTCTTACCCATTTCTGTCTCTCTTTAAGTGATTTAGCCTGGACTCCCCTGGATCTCGCCTCATTAATCACTGAACATATTCCAGTTCAGCAAGAACAGTTTTTTTGGAAGGTGCTGTTGGTTTTGCCAAATGATGAGGAATATGCACAGGATGATCCCAACAGGTAAGTAGAAGAGTTGGTTTAATACGTTCCTTTCTCAAGCATGGCAGTGGAATGGAGGACGACTAGTAGTGTCCTTGACATATGTTTTCACCTGCCATGTCAAATTTCCTTTCCCCTCCCCTTTTTTTCCTCTCCAAAGTACTCTAAGGATGTGACTGGAATTTGTTGCAAAAGTCCTTATCTTCTCCTGTCATTGTTCTTTGAACTGTTTTTGCTCGTATCAAAAACAAAGAAAGCGTTGAAATAGGTAATGGTGTGGAGGATTTCAGGCCATCTGATAAATATTTAGCAAAATCTAAGCAATTTGAAGATCGGGAATATAATACGTTATGGTAGCTTAGAGGTGTTTGTGCCAAAACCCTAAAACACCGTAATTAAAATCTTTTTTGTTCCCTTTGGTTAGGGTACTGGTGGACTGGTTGAAAGCTAAATTTATGGGAGACAAAAGCTGGAAGAAAAATACTTCACATGTGGAAGGCAGAATTCAAACATTGACAATATATAGTTCTCCTGGCACGCGAGGGAGCAGAACCATTAATGTCAATGTGTGTATAAAGGTAGGTGAGAGCAATCTTCGTATACCTGACAGGCAGTAAAAGGTTGTGCTGTCTTTGCCAGTGGATGTTGTCTGGAGGCTTTTCACGCTCTGTGTCCTGTCAGATGGGGAGGAGGTGATACTGGGAGGGATAGGGTTGTTGGGGAAAAAAAATTTTATGACCTTTTCTTCTTTTGGTTTCCAGTCAACTGAATGAATATTTGCTTAAGTGCAGTATAATAGTAGAACCTGTCCTTTAAATTTCTAGTTCTGAATCAGGTGTCGAAGTGTATTTTTGTGTGTCTGTTGGGCATGTTCATGGTGCGTGGGTTTTCTTGGTGTTTTTTTTAACTACTCAGGTTTGTAGAATGAACTGCAGTTTTTATTAGGAAGATTGCTTTGTTTTACTTCAGCTGCATTATTGTTGTCATGCTTCTTACTCGTGTAGGTGGCACACGGCACGCTCTCTGACTCTGAGCTTGATAAGGCTGAGATGCAAAAAGACTTACTGGGAACCAGTGGTCTTATTCTTCTCCTGCCCCCTCGAGTTAGGAGTGAAGATGTTGCAGAAGATGATGTTTATTGGCTTTCAGCTTTGCTTCAGTTGAAACAGTTGCTTCAAGCCAAACCTTTCCATCCAATAGTTCCTCTGGTGGTTCTAGTCCCTAGTCAGGAAGAGGATGCCACAGAGAAAGAAGTAGAAGAAGGTATGTAGTTACTTCTGTGCCTTGAAATAACGTGAACGGTTAGGACTGCCCAAAGCAGAACTGTTGGGGCGAGCGCAGTCTCTCAAATACAGAGAACATCTAGTTAAGAGAGAGGTGCAAGACTCTTCAAAGCTCTGATAGAAATCCAGAGGCTTTAAGGATTGGTTAATACGGAAAGAGATTTAACTTTTCCTAGGTTTCCAAGATTCCCTTGCACACCATATTTCATCCTGCGAGTCTGGAGGGAAGGATGGAGGGGGCTTCGATGCTGTGAATGTATGCCGAGAGTGAGATTGGGTCCAAGGAGGTGCCCATTTGTTCTTTCTGAATGTATACAGCTGAGGAGAGATGAAGGCCTTTCAGTTGCGTGTTTTTTTTGTCTTTAGGTTTGATGCTGCAGGACTTGATTTCAGCTCAGCTTATTTCAGATTACACCATTGTTGAGCTTCCAGTTTCTATCAGTGACTTACAAGGCACCGAAAGGGTAAGAAAAGCAGTTCAGCATGTGAAGAGATACACAGCTGATTAATCTCTCTGAATTGCTAATGTTTTATAAGAAATGATTGCTACGTTCTCAATAACTTTTAAAATGCAACTGAATCTTGTTTAAGAGGATTTTTTTTTTCTGGTGAAGTTGACCTTTCTCGTAGGTTTTGCTCAAAGCTGCTTTTACCGCATACCTGAATTTGCTGGAGTCAGATACTAGATACGTGCTTTTTTAGTAGCGATATTTGTGACTGTTCTCTTTTAACTGCCTAGAGATTAACAGCATTTGCTTCATAAAAACTAGTTTTTTCTCTGATACTGAAAACTGCACTGAGGCTCAAATATTTGGGTTGCATAATCCCTGTCTCTCCTGCCTGTGTTGACTAGCAGGGGTGCAATAACTGCATAACAGAAGAGTGTGAGAGCAATGTGCAAGCCTTTGGTATCCTTTAGCTCCCAGTCGTAAAGTGCAAAGGACCCTTTTGTAGCTGTTTTGACTGCTATGGGATTGCCCAGTATTATCCTGTTCTCGGTGGATGGGAGTGAGGGATGCCTCAGTGCTTTCATATGAGGGACAGATCTCTCCCTGACAGCTCCCAAATACAAGCCTGTGCCCTTCTTGTTTTTTCTATTTGCTCTGTGCTTGAGAATAGTGGCCTGGAGACTGTAATCAAAAAGCCATGATGGGTCTTTATAGTTATCAGAATAAAATAGAGGGATAGTTTTGTGTGTGAGCCATAGCTAGGTGGGGGGTTGGAGAGGTGGGGGAGGTTAATGGCCAAGAGAGGCCAATCTGGGTCAGTCCAAAGGCAGCTCTGGCCCAGCATCCCCAGTATTATCACAGTGACCAGGGAGGGTGCCTAGGAAAGAGGGTAAGGGCAAGCGCAGAGTGATACTCCCTTGCAACTTGTATTCGTTTGCAGTTCAGTGACAGCCAGCCTCAAACATGGTTTCTGTGCGTTTGCTCGTCTTGAATTGATTTCTGTTCTGTAAATCTGCCCAAATTCTCCTTGACCTCAGACAAACTTTGGCATCGCCAACACCTGCAGCAGGGAGTTCAGCAGCACAACTGCATGTTATGTGAACAGCCTCTCCTTCCTTTTGTTTTTCTTTTTTTTTGAATGTGCTGCATGTGAGTTTAGATTGAGACCATCCAGTCTGACCTTTACTGTTGCAAATCCCAGGATGCCGATGGATGATTTGTTTGTATTTTGCTGTATAGTATTCAAGGCCCTGTTCTGTCAAACTTGGAGGGCTACAGGATTGGATCCTTACAGTCCTCATCACGTGGAGCAGTGTCTTCTACTAATCATGTTGTTTTTTTTTTTATGTTGTAGCTCTCTGCGGCAGTGGGGTGGCTGGTTACCCGGTGTCCAGACTCCCTTGAGCTCTGCAGTCAGACCCTTCGGGAGTATGTGGAGGATGGGATTGATGGTGAATTTGGCAAGCGCTTCTATCATGACCGGAAGGAGAGGCGTTCAGCTGGTCTACCGTCTCAGGAGCCTGGGGTCATTATAGAGCTGTACAACAATGTGTTGCAGTTCCTTTCAGATGTAGCATCCTCAGAGCTTGTGTGTGACTTGTCTTGGCCTGTTACAGAGTTTTCAGAGCCTGGGGGTAACAAACTGTTACCCCACCTGCAGTGGAACATGCCTGATCACCTGGCCTGGCTGAAGAAAGCTGTGCTTTCCTTCCAGATCCCATACCTAGATCTGCCTCCATTGGGTGGTATGTACTTCACGTTTCAGTGTCCCCTTGGCAGCATGTCATTTTCTCAAATGTGCCTGTGCTGCTTGGAGAACTGTCTTCGTGTAAAGCTGTTGTTTTGGCTCTGTCGCGCGTTCTTGCAAATCACTTTTGTGGTTTTGTTGTCGTTTTGTTTTTTCCTTAGCTCCTTGGCGTCCTGTTTGCCACATGGTTTTTCAGTATGTGTCTCAGATCGCTAGTTCTTCTCATACTCAACCACTGATCCAGTCCCAAGTGGAGAATCTGCTGAGCAGAACTTTCCGAAAGTGGAAAAGCAGGACGGCTGGGAGCTCTGATGATGGACCTTCTGTTGATGAGATCCCTTGGGATGATATCTTAGCACTCTGCATCGATCATAAACTGAGAGACTGGAAACCACCCAAACTGCCTATCTCACCAGGTATTGTGTGAACTTCTATGGCATGGGTGTTATCTTATGCATAACTACACTTAATAACTTGGCATAGGTGCCTTTAGGTATGGTAGTGAGTGATATGTAGCGTTAGTGTAGCAGATTGAGCGCTCTGGTCTTGATCTCCTCCTCCGCGTTGTAGAATGGCACTGTGCTTATTGCACGTTTTTCTGCCATTGAGAGCATATGTTTTTTGCCAGTTACAGCTTTACTTGAGCTTGCTACGTGTTAAAGCACTATGATTAAAATTTCCACATCTTTTACATGGAGGAGTACAGTCAGAATCTTTCAACCCCTGTATCCCAGTAGAGAGGGCATTTAGATTCAACCAAAAGCCAAGAATTGGTCCCCCAGAAGCCACATCTACTCAGGTCAGCTGAGATGGCAGACCTGCTGCAGGAGGAGATTTGTCTTAATTGGTAAGTAATTAAACAGGCAAAACCAGAACTACTTCCTTAAACATTTAATCATTCACTTGTAATAGGTGTCTGAGACAACATGCTGGGAATATGTTCAGAAAATGAATTGTATATATTTAAACAGCACTTCTTCAGAGCTAGGATTCAAATCTTTCTTTCCACAAAAAGGATACAAGATAAAAGAAGGATAAGGATGTCAGTAAAACAGAGTTGGAAAGAACCAACGCATTCCCATTGCTTTCATCTGACAAGGTGCACAGCCTTTAGCAGACAGAGCAAGTTCAGAAGGATTGCTGATTAAAGTTTGTGCATCTGATGCACTGATTTAAATCCTGGAACAAGCACTGTCAAATACCTGAGTGTTTAATTCAATAAACTGGGGAGAGGAGGAGAAAGCCTAGTACTGTTAGTGAATGCTTCTGGGAGGTTAATGAGGTTTGTGTCTGAAATTCTGCTTACTTTCAATTTCAAGTGTGCTTTTCTTTGTGCCCTGTTTAGCTTAATTATAGGGAGACTGCTTTAACAAAATGACTACCTGATTGGCTGGACACTGAATTTAGATGCACTAGAATTCTAAAATGAAGATAAAACTGCGTTTTACAGTCTTTGGAGTAATCTGGTATTTGTTGAAGAGTGAATCAACTCTAAAAAGCCCCTTTTTACATGTGCAGTACAACTTAAAGCTACTTGAAAGTGAACACAATTTTCAGTGGCTTTTTAATGCTGAGTTTTTCTTCTGAAGGGGAAAATCTGTACTGGGATTAAATGTTGGGTTTGACTTGTTCGCAGAAGCAGTAAGTGAAGATGGCCAGATTCGTGTATACTTCTTCAAGGAGCATTTAAAAAACTTCACTCTCCCTTTTTCTTGGGAGCAAGCCAGATTGCGAACCCAGAAGGAGATCCAGCAGGGCCATAGGAGGTGAGGTGACTCTGACGTTTCCCGTGTGAATAATGTTCAGCCATCAGTTACTCCACCAGAGCTACTCAGTGAATGCTGAGGAGGTTGCTTAAGACCTCTGTGACAATTGCATAGTGCCTTCATGATGTTCACAACCTGTGTGTGGTGTTCTCTCCGAACATGCTTGTGGTAAATCCTCTTGAAACGAGGTACAAGGGTATCTGTGCAGAAACCAGATGGTAAATAATTTGACTTCTGCAGGGTTGCCCCACTGTCAAGGACTTACCTGGAATGCACTTTTTAAAGTCTTGTAAATTGTGAAGTTCTACTGCCAGAGAGAACACAATTGTGGCTTGAGATACGTTTGAAGTTAGACTTGTGCTGTGAGTACACACAAATGGAGGGAAAACGGTGTGAAGTTGAGGAAGCACGTAGGAGTAAATCATGAGCATGTCCTTTATTTAGTACCGCGCCCTTCCTTTACGTTCACCTTCATCTGCAGCCTGGACCTGTTAGATGAATGATCAAAACTATTTGGAAGTTTTGTCTTTCAGTACCTAAGGTCTTTTGGGAAAACTGTAAGTGGTCTTAATGAAGCATTGGCTAGTGTTGCATGGTGCCTTAGGCCCCTTCCTTAGCAAAGCCGTGGGCCTGTTATTTGCTAGGAGGGTGCTGCTAGCCATATGTCCAGTTGGATACGGACTTGCAGATTTACTTTCTTTGGTGACTTCACATTTATTTTACACCATTTTGGGCTCAAAAGGAGGCTCTGTCCCCAGCTTGTGGCATGGCAATAAGGAAGTCTTGCTGCTAAGAGATTTTAGAGGTTGAGAGGGGAGGGTGTCTTAGAGCTATGTGGCTCCTATTAGAGCCCTGTTCAGAGTGAAGCCAGTCTCTGTTCCCTCTTGGAAACTGCCATCTGCTGCTCCTCTATCTAGCAGGGAATGTCTAGATACTTTTCTTGGGCGTGAAACCCAGCCTTTTGTTAGATACATTCCTTGAATCTCACGAAGCATTGCATCTCCTATGTAGATGGTAAGCATGCTAGACTGGCACAAGGGGGTCGTGTCTCAAGACGAGATCCCCTTTTTGCTCCCTGCTTTTGCTAAATTTGTGTTGATTTTTCTTTATCATCCAAACACTCATACCAGTTCTGCTCCCCCCCCACCCCCACCCCGCTCTCTCTCAGGTCAAGGGTGAAGTCTCCCATCTCTTCTAAGAAACCCTGTAGTGTCTCGATCATGCCAGCTCAATATGGCGCTGACACGAGCGTGCTGTCAGGTCAGGAAAAGAGCGTTCCCAGTGCAGTTGAACTCTCAGACACGGCTTCAGCCCTGGAGCTTCTCCCAGAACGTCTCTTGACCCAGTTGCAACTGGAGAAAAGAGAGAGCAAGAAGTAAGTTACCAGAGCAGTATCTAAAGCCATTTCCGTGCCGCCCTTGGTTGAGGGTTGTAAATAGTTAACTTGTATGCACTGAAGTCCAGCAGTGTTTTTGGAAAACACCCTAATTGATGTCTCCAATTTCTTCTTCCTTCATCAAGTGCAAAAGTTCAAGGCTGTTCCCTGCTAGCTCCTACTTGCATTGCAGGAACTGTCCGGGATGGTAGAAATACTGGGAGCTTTGAGGAACGGTTGGAAACTGTCTATGGGCAATCAAGCCACCAATGAAAAGCAGTACAGTGGTGTGTGGTGTTCAGTGGTCTTTAAAGATGACATGGAAGCATGCAGATGTTCACATGGTGTGTCTTGACGTGCCACAGATGTCTAAAGCCCATTTGGGATGGCAGTCTCTATGACCTTGCAACTTTTACAGCTGTAGCAAAGCAGGTCATGAAGCCAAAGAATGAATCGTTTTTGAGGCTGGCTAAAGAGCTTTGTATTTGCTGCCTTCATCAGTCAGATGTCTTGAATTTGCATGGCTCCTTTCTGTATTACAGCCTTCTGCAGTGGGTTTCCCCAATAGCAATGGGGGATGTCAGTGTTGGAAATCACTGTGAGCATCATATCCTTCTTGCAGACGCCTCTGAGGCCCCAACTCCCGCTTAACCTGCCTGTAAGGAGAACAAAGCTGGGTTGCCATTTGAGTGGCAATTTGGGTCTCTTTCCTCCAGGTTTGAAGAACAGTTGCATCAATTTCTAGCTGAGGACATGGAGCCCCTTGGTGACTTCATGGGTCCCCCTCTTTACCTTCCCCAGTCCCTGGTCTCCACCCCACCTGTCACATATCCATTGATGAAGAGTCCCATGTCATCTGCTCAAGAGGTAAGAAGGGAGTGCTACTGAGAACTTGTCTGCACAACACCCTTCAGAGCTAAGGCTGTTAAACCTGCTGCCCTTACAGAACTCTTAGTGGGAATAAACATGGGTAAGCAGTGTCGGATAGCCTTTGGAAATTCAGAATTGAAAAGTTTTGCTCTGATAATAACTTCCTTTCAGGGAGGGGAGTGCTTCCTGCAGATCTGAAATTCACGTTTCTAACAGGACTGCTGAGAACGGTCCTAAATGCGTTGATTGCGGTGTTGCACTCTAACTTAAAGGATCACCTTTGAGGGTCGGCTTCCCTCAGTCAAAGGAAGGCTGGGCCGAGGGCAGAATATGCTATTTTTGCCATACCTCCTTTGCGGGAGGGCAAGAAAGACCCCTGCGCTTATTCTCAAAAGCGAGAGAATAGTCTTTGAGCTGAGCTGTCTCTTGTTGGTATTGGATAATGCTTCTTTGTCAGTCTAATCTCTCTTTTCCTTCTGGCCAGGCTAAGAGTCAAGTGGGATGTGAGCTTCTGGTGGAGGAGCTAAGCCCAGCGCTGTCGGACAGACTGAAACACTTGCAAAGGCTACTCAGTGCTAACAAGGAGGGCGAAGTTGCCTCTGAACTCCATCTCTCTGCTCTGGTGGACATGGTGGATATTTGAGCAGGGCTGAGATACATGTGCAGACCAAGAGACTTCATAAAGAAATTCATGGTCAGGTGATTCAACTGCCAAAGCACTGGGGCTTCTTCAAGAAGAGAAGGGAAAGAAAAAGAAAAAGAAAAAAATAAAAGCTTCTGTCCTCTCAGAAGAACACACGCAGAGCAAACATGGGTCCTGGGCGGCTGTTGTGTGGCTGCCTTGCACAGAGAGGGCGCGTCTTGACTTAGTGTGTCCCTTCAGCTCAAAGCTGAGGTTTGGCTGGTCTAGGAGTCCTTCCTTTTAAGCTGTCCTATTTTACAGGCACGGAGAGGAGTCGAATCCTGTTTTTTGGAAAGCCCATAATTGACCCTGTGTGGTGATCATCTTTTTACCAACTCTCATCGGTTGATGGCTAGCTGTGAGAGAGGCAATGAACTGGTTGCCCGATCAAATGTCTACCTTTTGTTCTAGCTCACAGTTCTGAGCACAGTATATGCAGAGTCAAGGGCTCCAGTGTACTCCTTGCATCTCATTTTTGTGTTCTCTCCCTCCGCAACACTTGTTAAATCCCAAGGCATGCGTGCACAGAGCCAACACTGGGACCAGACTTGAATTTCCGTAGAGATACAGCTAGGAAAACACTGCTAGGAGGAGCAAGTGGAGAATAATTCTGTGGGAAGCCTGTTGCTTAAACATAGCTTCACCAGAAGAAAACGGTGAGGTAGTGAGGGCCCCTGGGAATACAGCAGTCTGTCTCCATGGACAGTCCCAGGGACGTTGTCCCAACTCTGTGCATGCCTGATGCAGAAGTTACCTTCCTGCAGCACCTTGGTCTTCAGTTGCTGTTTTGCTCTTCAGGAATGTTGATTCTGTCATTCTCAAGTAATTAAAATACTTTGCTGTATTTATTTTATACTTAATAGTGGTCCATGCAAAACCAAAGACTTTTGTTCTGCTTGGCCCACGTTTTATTATGTTGAATGCTTATGGGATTAAAAACAAATCAGTTGCTTATTCTGCAAAGTAATTCCCATGCTGAAAAGCAGGATGTTTTCTTCAGTCTTCAACAAAACGGATAGGGAGGAATGATGGAGGACTGACTTTTTTAAAACCAACCAACCAACCAACCAACGAACCAACCCAAACAACTACATTCTTCAGCTTTTAAGGAGCTGCAGCTTTGAAAATTGAAGACCTTTAATATCAATTCCCAGGAGATAGTGTGAACATGTATTTCATGTCTGCAATACTAGAGTAGAAGTGTGTGGGTTTTTTTGTCTTTTTTGTTTTTTTTTTCCAAACAAAATCGTCATCATTGGATCTTTCTCCAGCAGAAAATTTGGCCTGATAAAATACAAAGTATTGCAACTTTGGCAGTGAACACTGATCTTGCCTGCCAGTGAGAGATCAATTGTCTGACCTTGTAACATTTTATTTATAACTTTCAGTAGTCCAAAATTTCATGTCAATCCCTTTCCAAAAAAAAGTGGTTTCATATTTTTATAATAGTATTTGTGTTAATTCTCTTTAAAATAGATAGGTTGAAATAAGAAGCTTGAACTGGAGAAATCATGGTTTGAGGCTATTCGTACTTGTAAAGTTTTGAGATGTTCTCTCGAGTTACGTTAAGTTCTGTCTGGTTTAGTAACAAGTGAAACTGCTGTGCTTTGCGTAAGTGCTGCTGTTGACTGTCTCTTTACCCAGAATTCCACTGTAAAATTAAATGAGTCTGAAAATGTTTTGGGATGTGTTTCACACCATCTGCGTTGTCTGCTGTAAGCATCTCTTCTGCATCTAATACACTTCTAGTGGCTTGACTTGAGCTGTCACCTTGTTGCTATATAATAGCTCTGTGTATGGGCAGGCTCTCAACCAAACTCTCGGGAGCTTAAAATGTGCTTTTTTGGGGTGGAAGGGGGTCTTGGTCCCTTGGCTGTCTGGCAGCCCCCACATTGCTGCCACGGGGAGTAGTTGGCCAGGAGCATGCTGTCCATTCGCGTCAGCAGCGCACCTTTGGAGACAGTGGATCTTTTGGCCAAAGATAGGTCTTTCGCATTCAAAAACCTAACTGTTTTCCTAGTGCTTGATTCCGGGCCCTCGCTTTTGACTCTGATGGAATAAACCTCCCAGTCTTACTGCCATAGGTTTGCTGATCCCTGTAGCCAGTTAGCCTTTACCCTTGTGTCTGAAGGAGCATCGGCATTAACTGCACGTTTCTGGGTCTTCTCTGAAACCCATGGAAAGCTGCCCTGCAGCCAGCTCCTGCCCAGAGCCGGCAGGCAGCCAGGGTGTGGGATAAGGTGGGTGCTGCTCCCCCTGTCCAGCTTGGTACCCACACGCATTACATTTTTTGGAGTCAGTAGGAAAGTGGGGGCAGATGGGCTCCTCCCAGGGCAGCGGCGTGCTCTTGCACTGCTCAGCGTGTCTCAGGCTTTCCCTCCGAGACCCTCCTAGCAACAAAATACTGAGCAGAGGAACAGGCTGGTGTTTATTGCCAGTTCCTTGAGCTGGCTGGGGTGCACCAGGGCCATGCACTGGCAGGTGGCTTTCCTACTGCTGCTTCCTGCAAGGCCGTGCTGTTTGGTCCCAGCTCTGGGTGCACTAAGGCATTCATACCCGGGGATGCTGCTGTGCCCGCTGCTGCTGGCACGTGTCGGCCTGGTGCTGTTATGTACAAGACGGCTTCTGCTCTCCTCTGAGCTCCTTACCTCTGCTAAAGAGAGGAGGGCCTGGAGGGATGTTAGAGATTATGTTATAGTAAAATAAGGCTTTAAGCAATCGCCCCCCCCACGACCCTCAGGCTACCCTGGGAGCTCTGCAACCGTCCCTCGGGCCGTGCCGTCTTGCAGGAGCCGTCCCGTTTGCCCTGCTGTTCAAATCGCCGCAAACTCTCCAGCATGGCACCAGCAAAGACGTTCCCGCGGGGTAACAGCCCGCACCCGGGCCGAAAAAAGGACCAACTGCGACGAGGGTGGGATTCGAACCCACGCGTGCAGAGCACAATGGATTAGCAGTCCATCGCCTTAACCACTCGGCCACCTCGTCTGATATTCACTAAGTTATCTGAGTAATTTTTTTTTCTATTTGACCAAACAACCCAAAGGTGGGCAGCATCCAGGGCTGGCAAGGGGGAGGAGAATAGCGTTTGCCATTCACTTGTCCCTCTCTATTTTCCCCTTCATCTCCTTGTTCAGAGGAAAACACAGGGCAGAGTGAGGAGATTTGGGAGTCGGGGGGGGGGGAG